TTTACACGAGTTGCCTACTACAATAAGCGCCCAGAAAATAATAAATATATAATAAATAAACGAAAAGAAAGCTTGTTTGTTTTAACACAAAAACGTTATGATATTTTGACCACCTGCCACAATCAAACTTGAGAAAAGAATAAGTAATGTGCAGGCCAAGTGTCCTACAGTTTTTTTTTGGGGGGGGGGGTGAGGAGCCTTTTCATCCAATTGCTGCCATTTCTACGAAGTAGGTTTCACAGATGAAGTCATATCTGATTACCGTAAATGGCCTAATAAACTCCCGGGGGGTCCATTTAATTTTAGGGGTCTCGCGCCCTAATTCCCTTCCCCTTCCCTTTCGAACGCCTGCCATTGCGAGGGAGACTAGGGTCCAAGCGGAGTGTTTTAATAGATAGGAAGCGTTAAAAAAAGAGAGAGGCCTATATTTTCCTAACTTCAACAAGCTCGACAAATCCAAGATATGCTTTCGGCGAAAAGATCAAGAGAGTTTCAAAGTAGCGGAATATCCGTTCAATCAATTGACACGTCTAGAGATCCATATTGCTACTTCAAATACGAACATTGATGTCAGAATCCTTGCGCAGGGCTATTGTGTTGCAATCGTTAGTCCATCCTTACTTTGTACTTAACTAGAAGCAGATGAAATACGCGAAGCCTCGTTAATCAAGCAAGAAACTGAATGAATTGAATGATTTCGCTCCCTTTTCTAATTCTTTGTATTTCGGAGTAGTTCACAGGGGGCGTTTGTTAGACAGGGGGAGTTTATTAGAGAGTTGCGTCTAATACAATTTTGACAGCGTAGAGGGGACGTTTATTAGATAAGAGGCGTTTTTACGGTACGCGCGCTCAGAGATGACCTCAGTTACTAGGGTCCATTCACCGAGACCTAGTAACTAGTGTTTGACATAAAGAACATGCATTCAAGGCCTGTGTGCGGGTGTTTTCCGGTGGGAAGGGGGATTGGAGAACACTGTAATCACTTTGGTTTTTGCTGCATGACGTTTTTCTCCCCCTCCCCTCTCATTTTTTCCGACCGAATCTGCCTCTCCTTTTAAAATAAACAATGCCGACAGCGGCGGGAAAAACTGAGCGCTTGGGTGCCCGAAAACATGCGTCTACACTTGCGACTATAATTCACGATCTCGGCTTTAATCTCGTTAAGGTTTCCTCACCCTGCATTAAATTAAATTAACACTCAAGTCTCACTGGACCCCTGTATAAGTTTTGATTAATTCCGTTCTTACGATTTTTGGGGGGGATCTACTTCAAGCGTTTACAACTGTTCGACTGGTTTGACCTTGGGCACGTATCATCTCCATCGGGCTCCCGAGTGTTCAGACAATTACCACATAGAAATATCTCGCAGTCAAACAGTGGCTTGTTTCAGCGCTCTTTTTTCTTACAAAGTCTGCAACTGATCTCACCACCAACAACGAGCTTTATTTGCATGACCATACAAACACATAAAGTATTGCAAAAACTATGTTTTAAGGAATCAAAATTGCAACACAGGGCAATTACGTTACTTTGATAATAATTTGTCACGAACATCAAAACAAGCTGAAATATATTTTATGAATTGTATATTGATAAAGTATTTAGAAGAGTTCATCAGTTCATTAATCAAACCGTTCATGGGTAACTGGGTAATATTTGGAATCAGAGTCTTGACTTTATAGTAAAATTTATTCCTAATCATAGAGTATGTAGGAAATTGAAAAAGAAAGTCGTTGGTCTTCTATTACATTGCATCCACAAAAAGGGCAATGCCTATTATCCTTCGTAGTTTGATTGTATCTGCCTATTTCTATCATTAATTTGTGATTGCTTATTCGTAGTTTTACTAAAGCCCTTCTCCCAGCTGTTCCTCTTGCTGAGTCTAAGTAACTAGAGGAGGTATAATCGGTTTTAAAAGATCCATAAAATTCAAGTTTTTGAGAATGTTGAAGGGTGTTTTGCCAATATGACATATATTCCTGTTTCATTGAACTTACATAGCTTTTTACCATAGCTATATCTAATAAATCAGGGTCAAAGTCAAGAAGCTTAAAGTATTCTGACATATTCATTAAATAAGAGTGGAAGCTATTTTTGCCATTACAGTGTAAGTCGAATGACATTTAAAACGCTTGTTTAACGAGAGACTCCTCATCTTTAAACTGTATATACAAAATGTATTTTTACAAGCTGTATTAGAAGCTTTATTGTTTACCTCCAAGTATCGTTTACAAAATTGAAGGTGTGCTTTCTCGATTTGTGAGCCGTCCCAGGTCTTAAAGTCTGGTTTGGTATACACACCCCAAATTTCACTGTTATATGTTAGAATAGGGGAGATCGTAGTATGAAATATTTTACAGGCGAGAGCTGCTTTTAGTTTGCTAAGGTTCGTGTGTCGTCTCAAGCTGAAGAGGGCATGAAAAGCTTTCTCCTTGAGATGTTCACTAGACACTGAAAAATTTCCGGATGAGGACATTCGAGTTCCTAAGTAAGTTTACTCTGGTACAACATCAATTAGTATATACACACTCTGTGATCTTGATGATTTAAGCAATCTGATTGGTTCGCTATCTCGGACTATTCAACAATATTCACCTCCTAGCGAGTGTAAATGTGTGAGCTCGGTTTTTTTTCCCATTTTTTTAGAGAAAGATCTTTTAAAAGTCGGCAAAATCCTAGGATTGACTTTTTTTTTCAGGCAAGAAAAGACTTCGAAGGATTCAAAACGGCGTTTTTCCATTTACTGCAGTTGAGTTTTGTGGTCGATGGATTGTTTACAACTCCCGTTTATTCGCCTAGAATAGGCCGTTTCGTGAACTCAGCGTTTCCTAACAAGAATAATAGGGCCCAAAAACGAAGTTTATTTATGACAAACAAATTTGAAAGCAAATGTTTGCAGAAATTCTACGTTTCAAGTAAATAAGAGAGAGAATGCTCCATGACGACGACGTCTTACCTCGAGGAACCGAATCGCCATTTTTGACAGCACTTCATGCGAAGAACGACACAACAAACCTTTTCGGCTATAAACTTGGCGAAGTCGACAGAAAACAGCAGAGCTCTTCTTTTCTTCTCAGGTAAGGAAACAATTTAAACTTTTAGCCGTTCCATTTAAGTCATTACGCTGTTGTTTGCGAAGTGATAAGCTAATGAATTGCCATGTTTGAAAATTCTGCAAAGACCTATTTTTAAACTTTCGCGTGTCTAGCTGACCTGATCTGTCAAGCAAATCGACTTTTTAATGGTTTCCTCTCTGATTTTGCTGAGATCACTTCGTGTGTATATACTAAAACAATTATTCTTTTCAATCTCGGTAAATAGTGGCTTTAAATATTTAACCACTATTCCTTTCGATTTCAAAGAATAATTGTTAATTATTTGACTATCTATGAGAAAGTGAAAATCAGCACTATCGCCACTTTGTTGAACAGTGAGAAGACTGAGTAAGCTATTCGGTAATTGATCGAATCTGTTTCCTTCATGCAGGAATGGCAATTTGTGGAAGACAGGATTAACTCTGAGTAACTAGAGCTAGAGATCATCCCTAAAATTTCCAGTCAGCTTTAATCCATGTACAGGGAATCTAGAAAACCACGGAAAGAAAACTATAGAAAAAAAATCCGGAATAGACGTACTCTGTTGATATGTCGACTCAGCTACAGGGCCTGATTCATTTACTTGCCATTAACCAGAACTACAACAGTATACAGAAATACATTAAATATAATATACAATATTCCAACTAAGTTATTTACAAGATTAAATGTGGTAAAGACAAGGAAGTCTAAATAGAAGGCGCGGGCTTATAAACTATAGGCTTCCTGGAACTATAGGGTAAACCATACAAGTTAAGGGTATTGAATGAAAATTTTGATTCATTTTTTAAAGAAAAAAAAGGAAAGAAGAGAAAAAAGAAAAGAAAAGGTTTGTAGCTCAACAAAGAGTTAATTTAACTAAGAAAGAAGGAATTTTTTTAGTCTTTTGCCAAAAAAACTGATACTTTCACCGTTTTGAATTTCCCGACTTAGCGAGTTGAAAAACCTAGGACCTTGAAACCGAATTGAGAATTTTCGAAAATTAGTTCGACAATGAGGTATATAGAAAAGGCTGGAATTTCTTGTATTATAAGAATGTATCTGGCTTGCAAGAGTAAACATATCACGAAAATAATTTGGAAGTAAGCCTCTTTTAAAAAGATACATAAATTTACCTATTTGGTATAAATAAATGTCCGAGAATTTTAAAATCTCCTGCTCTTTAAAAAGAACACCGGTATGAGTATCAAAACAAACTTTAGATATTATTCTGATTATCTCCTTTTGCAGAATAATAATCCGATTAAAATTAGACTGATATGTCGATCCCCACAGTGAAACACAATAAGTTAAGTAAGGGTAAACTAGACTGTAGTACAAGGAGCGCAAGGAAGTTTTGGGAAGGCAAAAACTTGACTTAAAAATAATACCTATTGATTTTGATATTTTTCTAGAAACCTTAAGAATATGAGGTTTCCATAACAAATGCTCATCGAGGATAACACCTAAAAATACTGTTTCTTTCACACGTTCAATAACATTGTTGTCAATTTGAATAGATATATCAAGTATGTTTGTGTCATCAGCAAAAAGAAAGTCCACCACCTTTAACACGTTGTTGAAGGCACAAATGTAATAACTGGTCACAAATGTAATAAAGGTCACAAGTGTGATAACATTTGGTCACAAATGTAATAAAGCTCACAAGTGTAATAACATTTGGTCACAACTGTAATAAACATCTAAACTAAGCTAAAACAAAAATCACGACGAAATCTAAAATCCCACAGATGACATTCTCTCCTACGTTTTTACACCACACTGTGCACGAGTATAAATTTTTAAAAATTTAAAAGATTTAAAAGATATCACATCAAATCAAAGGTGAGCAAAAGGAACACAAGTGGTGTTGAAGGAATTGGTGGAAACACGGAAGGTTATAGCGGAATTAGAGGAAACACAACTGATGTTGGTGCAAGTGGCGAAGACAGAAATGGTGATAACGAGTGCAGAGGGGAGACAGGTCGTGTTGTCGGCATCGGCGGAGACAAGGAAGGTGATGGTGGAAGTAGAAGGGACACAAGTGGTGTTGGCAATAATGGGTGCGACACAAGTGGTGATGGCAAAGGTAAAGAGGATGAAGGTTATGTTTTCAGAATTGACGGGGACACGGAACAAGTTGGCAGAAGTAAGGGGGATACAGTAAGTGAAGTTATAAGTCGCGCGGACAAAAATGACGAGGCGCAGAGTGGAGTAGGATCAGGATACACAGGGCAATTTTTAAACAACGATGTGCTAGAAAGTATCATTAAGATTTCCTTAAAGTCCTTTCCGTTTATAAGAACATCCCTACAAGGTGTAAATACCTTCTTCAGAGAAACAGTAGACAAGATGCCTTGCCCTACGGTATACATTCCAGAACTCGCAGAAAAAACAGTCGTCATAAGCATAAGGAAACTAGTAATGCTGAAGGGGAGATGCAGTAGTGCTGTTGGACGCCTTCGGGCAGTTATTAAATCCCCTAAATGGTATCATGCATGGGTGAGGTTAGTTCCTCTAGAATTTAGATGGTTTGCAATATCTGGCATTTTTTGGAAGAATATTGCAAACACACGTAAATAGAAAAGCGTGCCAACCAAAGAAGAACAGATGTTCCTCGTTTAACGCCAAATAAGGAAGCTTGTTGTTTTGGGTTTGCCAAAGACTGATTAGCTATATTGTTTCGCTCTAGGCTGATAAAACTGTGTTCTTCTCAGAAAAAAATTCGTGCTTGGTGTATTAATCAATAGGACTTATGTTCGGTTCCCATACTTTTTTGTATGCATAACTACAGTTTCCCTGCCATGTATAGCAGGAAAGCAATTTGAAGTCCTAATTTGATAACCGCAAGCCGTTCTTTTTCAAGGTTGTAAGTTAATCTTCAAATTTAATGAGATTAAACCATTGTTTTGCAGTTATAGGTTGTCTTAAGTCCTTATTTTACTATATTGCAACAATAAAATTTCCGCCAGGACTGTGTGACGAAGAAGGTGACACTACAGTCGCATGTTGAAACTGCTCAATGCCGTCATAAACCAGTTAGCAAGTTCACATGTAATTCGCATGAGGGTAACCTATCGTGCTTAACCAATCCTGGTCTCCTTCGCAGCCGTCCGTCTGATGCCATCAAGAAGAGCTATTTGAGGCATTTTCGGGCCTCTATCTCGTTTAAAATTAAAGGTTCCAAACTATCCGAAACTTTGCATACCTGTCGAGTATTACGCTGGTCGTGCTGTTCCCAAAGCTTAATAATAGCTTGCGAAGCTCGGACAAAAGACTTCACCGTCCACCAAAGTTTTGCCTTTCGCTTTCCCCCTCCCCACTTCTTTTGGTTCTCTTCAACTTCCCGCCGTTCTTTAGGTTTTTCTTAGCGCTTTTTGACTGAAATGCCCTTTTTTTAGATATGATTGGAAAGTCATCTTTGCCCTGCACAATTCAGTCTTCAAAGTTATATTATATTACCTTTAATTTGTCTCTGAGTGAGTTAGTCTTTTTAAATTGTTACGTTGGCAATTATTACATCTGTGACCAAATGTTATTACACTTGTGACCTTTATTACATTTGTGACCAGTTATTACATTTGTGCCTTCAACAGGGTATTCATTTTTCTCGTTGTCAAATAAACATATTTTAGGTTTATAAGTAGGCTTTTTTTTGTTTAGGAAGAAAGATTACAAAGTTAGATTTACTAATGTTAAGAGTTAGCGTATTAGATGTTAACCAGTCGTAGAGTTTTCACAATTCAGTATTGACCACTGTTTCAAGAACTTTTAATTTTTGTCAGCCAAAAGCATAAATTATTAGTATCATCAGCGAAGAGATAGAATTTAAGTTTAGTCGAACACTAGTGGATATCTTTAACATCCAGCAAAAGGAATAGAGGACCTAAAACGGAACCTTGAGGAACTCCAAGGCTGAGCGTGGCTTTTTTTTATACTTGATCAGCGATTTGAGTAGTTTGCGTGCGGTTACTGAAATATGAGGAAAACCATTGGTTGATTAATCCATGAAAGTCGTGGTAGAAGTTGAGCTTTTCTAGCAGAATATTGTGGTCAACGGTATCAAAAGGTTATTTGAGGTAAATAAACTGACCACAAGAGTATATTAGTTGATTCATATTGGCCTGGGTTGCATTAACGATGTCTAATAAAGCATGTTGAGTAGAATGTCCTTTGCGAAGCGCCGTACTGGGAAGAGTAAATTAAATTGCGTTTCTCAAAGTAATTTATCATTCTGGTATACATAAGCCTTTCAAAGATTCCGTTAAAGTTTGAAAATAAAGATATAGGTCTATAATTAGTTGGGTCCGTCTCATCATCGGATTTAAAAACGGGCACAACTTTAGAGTATTTCAATTCTGTAGGGTATCTCCCTAGGCCTATAGAAATATTGAATAGTTCTGAAAGAACAGGGGCTATGATGTCATTTGAGCATTTTAGTAACTTTGTCGGAGAGGAGTATGAACTGTGTGATTTGTTATTAGGTAGAGCATAGTTAGTGGGTAGAGATTATATTTCAGTCTTTACACAATCATATGTTGTTGGTTGAAAAAAGAAAGATGGCAGTGGAGACATATTTTTGTTAAAAAAGTCGAGATAATGTTGTTAGGAGGAAGGAATCTTACTTACGAGTTTACTCCAACAGACGCAAAATATTCATTGAGAAGGTTAGAAATGCGTGAAGAATCTTTGACTAGCTTATTGTTATTGTTTGGGTCTTTTATTGCAGTAATAGTCTTCAGTTTTTTCTAGCGGCGAAACAATAACTCATTAATACCTGCCTAAGTGTTTTTAATATTTGACATGTCTGCTTCAAAGTAATCACTGTTAGTAGTAATCATTTTTGCTGATACGTGTTAGACTTGAAATTTTATTTCTATAATATTCATACCTTACTTTATCGCTCGACGCGTAGAGTTTGCTTTTCATGATCATCCTTATAGATATCTCAGTTGATCCAGTGGTAATCCAAGGCTCGGAGAGCACTTTTCTTTTGCGATTAGATATTTTTTTCATGGGAGCACTTTTTTTTTACCATTGCGTTGAACTTGTTATGAAAGGAGGGAAACAACACGTCCACATTATTTTTACCGCTACTAAGAATGTCATCCCGGTGAACGTTGGAAAGGCCATCACTCAAACGAACAGCAGAGACTTTTGAGTAGTCGCGAAGTTTAATACTTTTACTTTTGTATTTATCTATCGCTGATTTCATAACACAAACCCGTGAAAAATGGTCGCTAATATCCGTAACAATATAACCACTAGCAAGAATTTTGTCTGGGTTATTAACGAAAATGTTATCAATTAGGGTGGCCGAGGCTCTGTGAACCCGTGTAGGCTTATCAACTGTTGCAATAAGATAGCAGCTCTGTAGGTGTAATAAAAAATTGTGACTGAAGTGAGATGTCTCACATTTAAGCAGGTCTACATTGAAGTCGCCCATTCTATATAAAGTATTATTATTCAAAGCAAACTTTTCAACAGTTTCTTCGAAATAGGTCTGACAAACTTCAGGAGTGTTGTCTTGACGGTAAATGATTCCACATATTATATTTTTGTTCGGAGAAAGATATTTCGATCCACAAAGCTTGGAATGACTCATAAGAGGACTTTTCTATGACCTTGTAATCCAGTAATTCATCAATAAATAGGCCAACACATCCCGAAACCAAAGGTGCGGACACATATTCAAATACGTAGCCTGGAATGCCCCGGTGTGTTGTATTGTCATTAGAATTTCTGATTTTTGTTTCAGAGACTCCAACAACGTTAAAATGAAAGTTAAAGCCGTTTAACAACGTTGAAAGATTCTCGAAACTACGGTTTAAGCTGCTGTGAAAAGGGAAAAATTGGTTTAAACTTGTCAAATGACTTCTTTACGCTTTGTGGGGTGAAATACCGAGAATAAATTTATTGATTCGGAAGGTTGTAGTACAAATTGAGATTTGCGTTGAAATGAGAATTTAATTTAAATAGATCTGAATTGTGTAGGCTAGATAACTTATCTAAGTTGGCTAGATAACTTATCTAAGTTTCTTCTAGATTGCGAGGAGCAAGCAACTGAGTTGTTAAGACGGCCAAGATGCAAACCTAAATTAAAAAAAAAAAACACTACAGTTTACAATTCATAACAAACCACTGCAGCAACATTTTGTCCAAACTGTTTGAAAACATTCCCTTCTGGATCTCTTCTTCTCCAACAAATGATTCTGGGCTTCCACAGAGCAGGCCAATCTGAGCGGTTCTTTTACACGAACAAAGTTTCCGATAACATTTTTTTTTTCGGGTTTCAGTCCTTTTAATCCTGACAATTTTTTTCTATTTTTATAATACCTGCGAAAGGTTCAGCTTATTTAACGGTGAGATAATCGCTGATATCTTTGCATTTTGTTCTGATATTGACTCTTTTCCACTTGTGCAAAAAGCGTCCGCGAAGAGCCAAGGTGAACGTGGCGAACAGCTGAACTTCATGTACTTTGCATGTAACAACACACGAAACGACTCCAAGGTCTGCTGCCCTCTGATCGGACAGGAACACAGAAGCGTTTTCTGGAACCAATCAGAAGCCAGAAAGGCCGCGACTGTTTGGAACCTCCTGGTAAAACATTGTCCCCGCCCGTTTAGACTTTACCTCACCCCCACTATTTCCCCCTGCATCTCCGAGGATGCAGGATTCCACGCCAATTCGAATCCGCTAAAGGATATTTCTAACCCGCCATGCAGTGACATCAACCTATTGTTTCACGCATTTCCAAAAGTGGAAAAGCTCTGAACTGTTGGAGGTTGTCTTGCCTTTTACTTATAAAACTTCGAAATATTTTCAAATATAAGCAAATTGTACGGTCTAGCGATACATGTAGTGTTTCAACCGTTTTTATCTGGTTAAAAAAAATTCTAAAGTTCACATCACAAGCCAACGAGTGTAACCCCCTGCACACCTTGGGACGTATTTATAATTTTAGCAGTGTCGAGTGAACGAGATGTGTGTATAAATTACGAACTGCCACTACACATTCTTGAAGGCTTACCTTTTTTAGTGTTAAGCGTTCTGGAATGTTATTGTCGTAGAGGCACCTAATTAAATATGTCGTTTCGCTTCGTGATTATGGACGTATTGAAATCTTTGCGGCTCAATAAACAGAGATGAAAAAAAATTGGAACCGTATTCACAGTCTACATAGTTTTAGGTGAAAATATCCGCCAAATTGTCGGTCGGCGACGCGGGTCGTACCATAGCAAAAATATATTCGAAATATGTCAACAAAAAGAAATTCACATATTTGATCACAGTAGCACGTTTTAAAAAATGTATGCTAAAATCTCAAACGTGGTTAACCACTGTTTTCAGGGTTAGAAAACAATGGGACTATTGTCGTCTCGTTCTCATTTGCATGTCCGCAACAGTTTGCATTTTGTACTGACCGGAAAACAAATAACATTTCTTTAAGTTCCACCGTTATTTACTAAGGATGGCAAGAATCATGGCTGCTCCATAATGTAGGTGTTTTCTGCTGAAAAACGTTATTCAAAACAACATAGCCAACAAAAAACAAGGAAACTTATAGTAATTTGGCCCTTGA